AATTTTATTCAGGCCTAAATGCTGTCAGCAGCAAATCAGCTCACAGCTTAATACTACTGGCAGCTCTACATGGGAGAGAAATAATGTTACTTTAATCCATTTTTTTATATGCTCTGATTCAATTCCAGTAGTTCTGATATTGATGATCAGATACTGGGTATTGGATTCTCTTTCAAACAACAAAAGAAGGTGAGAAACAAAGCTGAAGATATTTTTAAACATCACAATACCAAGCCACAATAAATGTATTTCATCTTTGTTTCAGCGAACATTTCTAATTCTCATATAAAAGATATAATGCATCACTATCAGAAAGATTTTCTTTTGGCACAGATTAGAAATCTGAAAATAGTCTTTTGATGGCAATGCCACACTCCCCTACTACCAAAATCACAGTGCTATGATGTATTATTCCTTTATGGTAACACACACCATTGAAGCTGAACTGTAATTTGGCACACAGCATTTCTATACTAATGTAATGTGACAATGTTATTATGTTCACTATTTTCCACGTGATCATAGCCATATTCATCTTCCCTAGCCTGACATTAAATTAACCAATATGGTTACAGTCTACTCTGGACCACAGGGTGAAAGCAGAACTGGATTGCCACAGCACAGTGGTCTGACGGTGGTGTAATCATGTGTAGGTGATATGTAGATTTTCTGTAATGAATGTAGACTCTTCTAGCAGAGACCTGGCACAGAGCAAGCACTCATTAAGTGGTTATACTTAAGATAAAGTTTACAAATAGCTACAACATGTGTTAAGAACAAAAACTGTTGCTGTTAAGATTTCAGAAGAGAGAAAGGCAAGGCCCAGCTCAGAAGACCAAGGAAGTTCCATTGAGATTGAAAATGAAATTATATTTCTTCAAGCAGATAAGGGTGAAAGGAATACACTCCAGGAGGAATGAGTGCATTCCCTAAGAGGAGAAGTTAGCACAGGCGATGGTGAGGAGAGTGAGAAAGTTTCAGAGTGGTCAGGGAGACCTAAGTAAGTTAGTTGGCAGTGACGTGCCCTATGGACAAGGGTCTGTGACAGATTAGGATGGATATGAATGCTAGGGTCAGACCACGGAGGCTCACGAACTCCATATTTGTGAACTTGGAGCGTATTGCTGGCCATTGATGGATACCAGAAATCTTTATATAAGATTCACGCACCTGGCCAGTGTTGATTTAGTGAGTTATTATCACCAACTGTATGCAACTCAATGTGCAAAATGCTGAGCATATGAGCCAAAATATTGGGTTGCCGGAAAAGTCATGACGTATTTTTTTCTATGATTTTCGTTGTGAAAACGTGTCATGACTTCTCCGACAATGCAATATGTATAAAGGACTGTTGTCCCTGGGAGATGTGTATACATAGTCTTACAGGGAGATAAGACCAAACATAAGTAATTGTAAGGTAGAAAGTATGGCTGATAAAACTGCATAAACAAAATTCTACAGAAGTCAGAGGGGGGAAATCGTTGCCTCTGGTTAGGAGAATCAGGAAGTGCTGGGTGGTGATGATTAAACTAGGGAAAACAGGCAGGAAGTACAAAATTGGTAAGGAGGCACAGGATGAACTGGAGGAAGAAGGAAAAAGACATGAGAAACCAGGAGATTACTACAATAAGCCGGAAAAATCATACTGGAGACCTAAACTATGGTATTGATATGGACCACTGAGTTGAGTACACTACACTGTTACTATTATTACTATTACTACTACTACTACTACTACTACTACTACTCACATACACACATACACACACACACACACACACACACACACACACAAAGCAATTGTTATTTGTCAATGAGTCGGTCATGTAGATGCCACTTTTCCAAGGAAGGAAGGGTTTCACAAACATTTTTCTTTCAAAGGAAGGTTTGGCATCATTTGGCCTAAGTGCTTTTTTGGAAAGATTCCTTTAAGTTCATTAATTAGTATGATTTATCCAAGATTACACTTACAAGCTAAAACGTATTCCCATTTTCCCATTGTTAATTATATCTCCAAGTAAACATAAATAAAATTTTCTAGTCACTTTTACCCACTCTATGAAACTTAAAGAGAGAACATTTAGAAGGTCTACTGGGGGGATGGGGCATCTCCTTTGCCATATGGTGCGTTCTTTCCCCCTTTAAAAAGTTTTGTTTCGACCGGCAGAGTGGCTCCGTTGGTTAAGAGCACAAGCTCTGAACAACAGGGCTGCCAGTTCGATTCCCACATGGGCCAGTGAGCTGCGCCCGAGCTGAGCTGCCACTGAGCTGCCAACAGGTGGCAGGATGGCTCAGCTGGTGAGAGCATGTGCTCTTAACAACAAGGTTGCTGGTTTGACTGCCGCATGGGATAGTGGGCTACACCCACCTGCAACTAAGATTGAACACGGCACCTTGAGCTGAGCTGCCCACAGGCAGTCAACAGGCGGCCGGATGGCAACTGGACTTGGAGCTGAGCTAGCTGCGCCCTCCACAACTAAGATTGAAGGACAACAACTTGGCTGTTTCCCTTCCCTGATTCCCCAATAAAATCTTTTTTTTTTAAGTTTTGTTTCTATTTCCTTTTGTCATTTATGCAGTTGAAGTTTGCATAGATCAAAGCCAGCCTCTATACAGAAAAGTAGTTTGTTGAAATCCCAGGAATTACACTAATTCTATTTGTGCAATTTACAGAAAAACCGTGAGATATAGACATAAGATGTAGACAATTATTTTGATTAACTTAAAAAGGAAAAAAAAATATGGCATGCTACTTTTATTGCCATATCAATTGCACGTCCTCAAGGCAGCAGTTACTATTGTACCTTCTACAAATTATAGTTGATATGAAAATAAGGTTTTCTTTAAAATATTGATTTGTACCTACATATCCTCATCACCCAAACTCCAATGTAAAAACCAAGAAACTATTTCGCATTTCCAGAAAACCCACAAAGTGGTAATGATTTAATCAAAATGCATGTATTCTGAGAGCCATCGAAAGTAATTTTAATGCTGATTTGCGCAAGAGGCATATCAGGAGACACATTTATTGGATGACATTTACCTTATTTATAAGAAAATAACAAATAGCCTTATCATTGTCATCACTACTATCACCCAAGAGCAGCACTCAAATCATTTTCTGTAAAATGATTTGAAGACAGCATGAGGTGTAAAGTAAGGTCTTGCTGTTCCTTTAGGAAATGTCTAGCAAATACATACATAAAATTATGTTATTCATACTTAACTGGTATATGAGGATACACAATCTGACACAACCAAATGGCAACTGTTTTGTAAAACATAGACACTAGATTAAGCAAAGTTTGGCAGAGAAAGTTCTTTAGCAAAATGGAAAACATTTCCATGCAAAAAAAGCTCTCTCAGCTACCACATGTAGTCATGCATCTGTCACAATCATACTCAAGATTAAAAGTTTTCCATAATAAAATCACAACAAATTATCAGCCTTATGGTTGTCCTTAAAAATAAGTTTATGTTATTTTCTCTGGGGAGAGAACAAATGCAGGAAGTTACTATTCTATATCCGTATTTACATGCTTTTATTAAAAGCATATAGAAGGTTCTTTTATTTGCTTTGCTTTATGTGCATGTACGTATTTTTGAATCTTTATGTAAGGAATATAACCTCAAACAGAGTTACTGTTTGTAAGTCTGATTTGATTTATAGAAATACAGTGTTTGCAAATGTGTGATAGCTTGAATACATGTTTATTGCTTTGAGTTTACCTGTATTCTATAAAAGGTGTCGCTGGCAGGATGGAGACTAAATATTTCTCCATCTATGGTGCTGTGACCTTTGCAGGTCTCTCCCAAGTACTATTTTACTTTGTATTCTTTGCTTGCTCTTCCTACATTCTGTATTTTGGATAAGAAACTTGGAGATAGCCAGTGAATTGTACTATATTTCTAGGCTGCACCATCTCAGTGCAATGAAATATTTTTTGGTTTGACCCTATCTTCATCACCGTGATACACATATCTACTGACATGAACAGAAATTCTCAAATACACAAAGGTCAAAATGAACCAACTCTAGTCTCTCTTTAAATCCATACTCAAGCACAGCCTTCGCCTGGAAGCCCAAGCCTTCAATCATTGCATCGCCCACACCACCATCTTAGAGCTTTTCTCTTAAATGCTCCAGCATTTCAAAACATGAAACATGCACTCTATTTTACAACCAGGAAACTTTGTCAGAAATATTTTTTCAAGAGCGGAATGCAATGTTTTGTAGCAAAGGCTTTTACCATTTTGATGAAGTGCCGTAAAGCACGGTCTATTTGAAAGTGAAGAAACAGAACTTCATCCTAAGTACCAGTCAATTCAGTCTCAGGCTCCTTACTGCAGTCACATATATTAGGCATTAGCAGAGATTCCATGATACAATGCGAATGCTGAGTTTCTTTATCACGTTTATATGTGAGACGAAAGGGGCAAAAAAAACCCCAAAAACTCACAAGGGGCTACAATATAAGGACAGTACTTGAAGGACAACGTTTAAACATGTTTTTAAATTAAAAGGCAGATATGGGCTTGACGAGATGTAGAGTGGAAAAAAAACAAACATAATGTCACCTTTCACTAAAATTACAGCCCTCAAGATGTAATCTTATAAAATTAAATATTAATACAAAGCAACATGAAGTCTCCTCCAAAAAACTAGGGAAGAATTGTTATCTACAGGAAATGAAAACTTAATTTCAACAAGGTGACTATTAGCAATAAAAAAAAAGGCACAACAGTTGAAAACCGTTGAAAACCAAACAGTTGAAAACCAAAGCATCCCCATCATCATCCCATGTAGCTAACAGCATCCATGATTAACAGTTTAGTGTTTCAAAATGTCCCTACTGTAAGGAAGAAAACTGCTTCTCCTGTTTATGACAGTGCCATTTACGTACAGGTAATATGCAGAGTCCCAGTTTTAGACCCTGGATATCAAACAGTAATGGAAGCAAAGACGAGCATCTGTCCATATTGAGAGAGGTACTTACGGTCATTGCAGAGCGGCCCACTGAAAGAAGTCATGCTGCAGTCACAGCTGAAGCCATCCCATTGCTGCAGGCACACACCTTGATTGGAACACGAGTCCTCCTGGCAGGTTGTGCTGGGCCCTGGAAAACAATCCAAAAGAAACTTGGGTGCTTTTAAAAAAATCTCTAAGTGGTTTCTACATGAGCTAGGTCACATAAAGTAGTTGCCAACACCTCAAAATATATGACCAAACTAGTTTTGAAAGTTCTAGTTCACGCACCTGCATTAGAAACAAAGAAGCTGTGATATGAAGGTTTTTCTGAAGTTTCAAATATAGGACGAAATACCATTATAATAGTAAACTTAGCCAACAAATAGTAAAAGCAAGCACTTAGCTTCTAGTATGATTATGGTAACAGGTAATCTCATTCCATCATCGATAATTCTCTATCGCCTTTTCAATTTTAGAAAAATGCATGGATCTCCTTAACTTCTGACCAATGAAGAGAGACACCATGAGAAATAGAGATTGTAAGTACATGAAATTGAGACAAGATTGGCAAAATAATTGAGGAGTGTTATGCAAAAATGTCCTACGAGTTCCAGAAGTTTTCCTGCACAAACTATGGATAAAGCTATGATTATTGGGTGTTTTGGATAGGTATGTTGGCAAGTATCAATTCACATGCTTTGACAATTTCATGCAATTCAACATAAAATGAATAACTGTATAAATGACATGCCCCATGTAACATACAAGTCCAAAGAATGCTATTCTATTTCTAAAGAATCATAACTAGAACACCAAAAAACAAAGAATTTAAAAAAAGGAATGATCAAAGCACTAAAGGTAATCACTATACAAACATATTCAAGACTGAAAGCCTCTGTGCAGACTAGGCTACAAAATGAGGTTTCTTGCGCAATGTTCAAGACAGGGAAAAATTAAGTCTGAACCCAAACGAGTTACTGCAAAAATGTGAAAAAGAATGTTATTTTAAGGTTTCCACTGTGTATTATGGGGTTTCAGTCTTGTTTGATACACACAGGGCCATCTACCTTGCAAGTCAGCTTTCATCAATGCAACTTTGTCAGCAAAATTAAAAAAAAAAAAAAAGCAAAATATATTAAATGTTAGTAAGCAGTACTGAAATGGGGCAAACATAGAAGAACGTTCAGATTCAAAAAGCATGCTGCTGTAAAAGGGGAGAGAAATGCTATGTAAAGCAAACAAATTAATACCAACAGCCATAAATCTTAAGCCAAAAAATGAGAAAGCGGTACTTGATTAGGATTTTACTATATATGTGTGTACATATATATATATAATGGTTAATTGAGCCGATGACACGTAATGAAAGGAAATTACAAGGGCTGCTGTATTTCTCCCTCTCTTGGACTGAGATAAGTGCTGCACCAAAGCGACTTATTACTTATGTGGCATATGCGGCACCATTTGTCACATGCAGATACAGTGTAAACTGTGGTCATTAGCAGGCCAATTATCCCTTTCCATTTTTCCCCCCTCTAGATCTTTTGTTATTGCAATTAAGACTTAAAACTACGATGCCAGCCATTCATTGCCAAGCTGAACCTTAGAGTGACACCAAACTACCAAAATGCATATATGATTTGGAGTACAGGAAAGAAGAAAAAGACGATGGAACAAACTGTCATTAAGTCCCCGTAAAGAGAGTCCCTTTACAAGATTTCACATGTGGAGTGTTTATCTCTGCTCTTACGTGGCTATACACATATACTGCTTAAGGATTTTAGAATCATGTCTGTATTTTCCCCACCTTCATAATTATCTTTAACTGTTATAAATGGGCCGCTGCATATGTATTACAGTCGAACCTCACTAAGAAGGACTAACTTGGGAAGGGTGAAAAGGGAATGGAATACTCTCCACCTAAATAGCTTTCGAGTAGAAATTATTTTGCAGAAAACACAATTTTATAGGTTTTATGAAAATATCAAAATAGACACCAGCCTAATTAGATGCTGTTAACAGTGGGAGCCTTTTCGGCAACTGCTTTAGTGAATAAACGAGAATTATCAATAATTAGCCTTTTTATAAACTGATGTTTTTGTAAAATGTCTAAACATGCTCCTAACAATTATACTTCTATTATAATTTTCTCAGTAAAGGTTCTCTTCATAGAAAGTTACTGAATTTAGCCCAACCTATGTGAATTTTCACAAGTACAGAAACCATCATATTGCAAATATCAATTATATAATATTAATTATAATAATAATAATTGATATAGTAATAACAATAATAGTTGTTATTAATGATAATAACAATCTCCCAGGCCTGGGAGGCCTAAATCAATGTAACAGTTTTTCTCACCTATTGCATCAAATAACTAAGAACCACTAGAATGCATAGTTTTTGCTGTTCTTCCAATCTGGGAGAGGTAAGTGAACAAATGATCTTTATCCTATGGTATTAGAGACTGAAAATAGTTAGAGGTTTTTTTGTTTGTTTGCTGTTGTTGTTGTTTATCCCTTAAAACAATATCCCTTAGCACATTCCTTCCTGGAGTTAAGCACAGGATAAGGAGTGGTCCAGGCCAGTTTGGGTCAGGGGCTGTTCTATCAAAGGATGCCTGCTCCCCTCCCCAGCAGAAGGAAAGGACAGTCCGATTTTAGTTTTTGCAAAAATTATCAGGAATACAATTGCAAAATAATGCTAAACTCTAAAAATGGTAAAACTGAAATCCTAAAAAGTAATCTTCCCATATTGTGGAGCAGCAACTCAGGGTACCAGCCAAACCTTTATGTGGACATAAAGACATGCTTTATTACTATTTTTGTTTTCATTATAACAACACCCGTTTTATATTCAGGTATTATAAGAAAATGCATGCCTATGCCTATGCAAGACACATTTTTCAAAGTACTCACCTTCTAGAACAATATTTAAACATTGACAGGCATTTGCACAAGACAAAGACAGAAATTTATTTTCCCCTTTAGTTACACAATGTTCCTTTTATTTTATCACTGCATAAAATTGTAAACAAGTCACAAGGACATTTGTATTAAATGGATAAAAATAAGAATATGTCTAAAAAGGAAAGGGAAGTGAAGGTAAAACTATAATCTCTGGAAACCAAAGAAACAATAGCAAAAAGTGGTTATTAGATGCCTGGGCTTTCAAATAAGGCAAACTTGGGTTCAAAGCTTCCAGCATCCCCTTACTAGATGTGTGACCTTAGGAAGGTCACCTTACATTTCTGAGGCTCAACTTAACTCATCTAAAAAAATAAGTTTAATATTGTGCTTTGAGGATTAAATAAAATAAGTTAATGTCACCAGTGCTTAATCAATGGTAGCTTTAATAATTAAGTATTTCTGTAGTTTATAATGCAGTTTTGGGCTGAATGTTAGGTCTATGCAAAGAGTGTCTAAACTAAAAAAAAACACAAAAAATTCACTGTATGTATGGATATTATCTTGACTCAGTATTGGGCTTAACGGAGCCTGATTACTGGTGGATTACCAGCGTCCATTTTCTCTTACGTAAGTAGTAAAATGCCATCATAAGCAGTAGTTTTCAAAATGTGGTCCCCAGACCAACAGCATCAGCATCATTTAGGAAACTGTCAGAAATGTAAATTCTAGGACCCTGCACTAGACTTACTAAGTCAGAAACACTGGGGGTGGTGTCCAGTAATTGGGTTTTAACAGTTATTCAGGCAATTTTGATACCGGCTAAAGTTTGAGAAACACTGATCTAAAGGGACTCGGACAAGGTAAACTCACTCCCATAGCTAACATGTGTGGTATAAATAAAATGAGCTGCTACCAACTACAATGAGTTGGACATGAAAGGCAGCAAGTGACTATTCAGGGAAGACCAAGAACTTTTACATGAAAAGCACTTAGAGATTTGTAAGTCTTGATGGGTAGGAATGATGGAAAATATTGACAAGATTTTTGGTTATGTCAACTTTATACTATTTCTATTAATATGGAAGCTAAGTGATTCCAATGTGATTTGAACTCAAAATTCCATGAGACAATATTTAGAGACAATTTATCGAGTAGTATTTAGAATTTGATCACTAATCCTAAAAACATGTGTATCCAATTAATTACACCGTTGACATGCACATCTGAGATTATTCCTGGGAACCATAAAAAATAGAAATAATCATAAAGTAAAAAATCTTGATGTTGGAATGAAAAAATCAGGGTAATATAACAGCAGCAAGGCAGGAGCACGGTAACATTCTAAGAAAAAAAGGAAAAGGGGGTAAGAGAGGGTGAGAATTATTAAAACTCAGATATTAAAGCATCCTGGATAAGGTAAGGAAAGAACCAGTGTCATAAGCTACTGAATGATTTCAAATGTTCAAATAGAAATTTAGGGCTATCCAAGAGGATGTATTGGGTTGTCGGAAAAATCGTGACGCATTTTAGCAATGAAAAAGATAGAAAAAATTCGTCATGGCTTTTCCGACAACCCAATAAAAACAATCATCTTAACTAAATTACTTATTAGATTGTGTTGGAAAATACAACAGCACCACATATCATGGCTGCTAATACTCATTCTCAACATTAGGATTAGTATCCCCTTCCAACCATCCACTCATGTCATGTGCCAGTGGTGGGGGTTCATGTGTGTGTGTTTGGTTGTCTATCTTGTGGGTGTTTGGCTGTGAATGTGTCTTTTCTGCTCCCATCATTTCTTACAGGTGAGAAGTCACTTGTGAAGCAACTTGTAGAAAGGCCTATTTTTGAAAAATATTTTCAGAAGAGTTTGTACTTTTTTTTTTTTTTTTACTGCATATATTCTCAAAGATTAGATCACCTCCAAGAATCAACGTTATATCCCACAGTTTTGTATCTATCCACTAGAGGGAATTTATTCACTTAACAGTTGTGTTTCCTTTGCTAAATTGGTAAAAAGAGAAAACACATAGTTTTCCTTTCCTTTACAAAAGTGAGTTATACCAAAATTTGAAATAAAAAAAATATGGCAACAACATTAAAAATGAATTCAATAGAGATTTGCATTAAATAGCTTTATCCTCCAGCAGGATTCAAACAAAGTTTGAATTTCACCTGACTTTTCAGGGAAATATATGTTGCAGAGAGGGGAAAAAAATGTATTTTCAAATAAAAAAATTGTCCATGTACTTAGGTAATTGCTAAATCTAATGGCATTATTTTGGCTGAATGGAAATGATTCATAATCTCGTGGGGAATAGGAATTCGCATGTCTTTTTTTGCTTCTCCCATATGAAATTTCCTTATGAATCTAAAATTTTCAAAATGGTCCAAACTGTATTCAACATTAAAGGAAAAGCAGCAACACATTCAGAGCCACAAAATTCAGGATAATGTGATTAAATTGCACTTATGGAGGGAGAATTGGCTCAAATAATATCAGGTGTTGAAGGGAAAATTATCTAAAATGAAAGTAGCAATCAAAAAATACTCCTACTTTTTAGTATAGATAGAAAGCACAAAGGAACAGGAAGATACTTGAGTACATTTTTGAAGTATGGAATATTAGCCTTTGAGTAATAGAAGAAAACACTTTTTGCTAAAACAAACTGATAATATACAGGAGACTCTCCTGCTGCCAGGTAAACACAAACCAAATAGTACAATAATTTGAAAATGGTATCTGAACTTTATTCTCTTGTTATATCCTATTGAATGTGGATTTCAAAAAACTGGCTCAAACTGATGAACACTTGCTGGGATAAGTATATTTTTCTAGTCTAAATGGGGTATCTATTTAATGTTATAAAGCAAGCATTGTGGAACTGATGAACACACTAATTTTGTGTACTATAGAATGCAAAGAAGCAGAAAATAACAAGAACCATGGACACAGCTTCTGTTTGACAGCAGACATTAGTGTAGGCTTGCAAACAGTCCAGAAAATTTAAAATTTATGGGATGAGAAATTAAAAACATGAGTAAGGATTTCTAAGCCCTAAGTGGGGGGATTGACCAGTTGGCAGAAATGAATTTTGCTAGCTAGAGACTTGTTCTTATTAGGAGGTGGAACTGGAATGATTAGAGTGTGATACCAAAATCTAGTACCTTCACATCCTCTCTCAATCTGTCCATTGCAGAAAAGAGCATCTGAGATGAGGTCTGGAAGCCGTCCATTTAAATCCACTGATGCCAAGCAGCCTTGAAAGCCCTCCTTGGCATGGACGAGTTTTGGCAAGGATTTGTACGTTTCTTTCGCCACTCCTCCTATATACAAGTCACCTGTGGGAAGATCAAAGTTTTGGTCACAAAAGTAGCTTGTCATTAAATTTAAACATACAGTAGGGCAGGGAAAAAAAAACGAGTGAGGTTTACTTTGCATTAAGAAAGAAAAAAAAAGTAAATTTCTAGCTAGATGTTTTCCTAAAAGTACAATAAAATTATTTGAATACATCAGCACTAGAAGAAATTTCTAGAAGCTATTTCTACAGAGAATTAAATGAGTTCATTATCGTGTGGCCAAGCAGAGGAAATGGGCCATGGGGTTGCATATCCCTGCTCTGAAATCGGATCCTGACTATGTACCAACTCTATGGCTTTGACATTGTTTTTGGTTTGTTTGTTTCTCTGATCATTAGTAACTTCATTTCTAAAGTGGAACAACATATCCCATAGGGTTGTGTAAGGATTAAATGAGATAAAATATAGGAAACGAAAATATGTAGTAGAGCCAACAGATGCTATTATTATCGAATCTACCTTCTACTTAAAGAACTCTGAGTCTTTCAGTTAATCAGAGGTGTTGTCAACAAATTCTCTCTAGCATCTAACATTACTTTTTTCTACTATGCTTAAGCCCATTATCCCTGCTTGTACATATCTTACTCACTAATTCACTCCCACAGGTCTGTACGTATTTGAATATTACATTCTTTTTCAGGTAAAGTTATACAACTTTGAATCATTTATGCTTCTCTAGGATCTGTTAACAAGTTATCAATATATACAGAAGGTGCCATAAGGGCCACTACTTAAAAAAATAAATCCCAATCTAAGTTTGATTTTATTTACTTTCCTATCACAGATTATTCACCATACCTAAACGGCACTGGCTAGATGTATTTAATTGACTCTAGCAAACACTAAATCAATGTAGAACATAAGGGGGATGACCCCCAAATTCCATAGTACACTGGCCCCACTTACAAGTTGTGATAAACATACTCTATACAGCTATGTCCCAGGCTTTGTCATTTGAATGTTCTCTCATATTAACCATTCTATCTAACTTCCATGCCACCTGATACCTTTTCCCCATGTGAACACATATCTCCGACACTGCTAATGTTTATCTGGGTCCCTGTGTGCTGTCTTCATGGGACTTGGGGGCAAGGAGAACTGATCTACATGCCAATGTTCTTGCTGTTTGTTTTGTCATGAGTAATCAAGTCCTTTGTCTCTGACCCAGAAATCTTATGTCTCCTGCCAGCATCCATTAAGCAGTAATAAGCTAACCTATTAGCTTGTAGGGAGGATAAAATCAATTCATAGATATAACACTCTTGAATTGTATTGAGGAGTACATTGAGCTTGCTTAAAGTTATTTAGCCATAAAAACTGAGAACTTGGGACCCTGAACTACTAAAGCTCTCATATTACACTAGCATGCCATTAATTCTGTCTAATTTGCCCTGGAGGTATGGATGTGTTTACTTCCTCCACCTCCTAAATAGAACAAAGCATCTATTGACTGCTAACCATCATTCTTAATAGTAAAGGATGGCATGCTCTTGGTCTGAAATGAGATACTATTTTTGAAATACTTTATGTTTTTCCCTCCATATTTCCTTTCTCTCCTTAGTCTTTCCTTTGTTACATTTCAAGCCATTGTGTTTTAGCCTCCGAGAAGGGACATGAATCATAAACCAAAGGCATAAAATTATCTTTCTGTATTTGAGTCTTAAAAGCCAAGACTCTTGGAGAAGTGAAATAGAATATACAGGCAATTCCATGAGAAGAGTAACGTTTTCCTGCCTCTCGTGTAGGCAAGCAGGAGAGGAAGTTGGAGGAGAGGAAATGTGAACATAGTCGTTAGTGAATGCCAAGAGGAAGGCAGAGTGCTCTAATTTAAGGGCTGAGCCACGGTGGATGTCAAAACCTCAGGTAGGCTTATGGGGTCATGTGTGCATTTCCTCAACAGTACCCAGACGCAGCAGTGAGGTCCTTGAGAAGAAATGGCTGCATATTAGATCTAAGCATGCTTGTAACGTAGCTTCACAGAACTATTCATTTTCCACTGGTGTGGGAGCAACAGAGCAATTCTCCAAGCGACACAGAAATACGCAGAAAATGGCTGGCCTGAAGGGGGTATGCACCCAAGAATGAAGGTGCTGTGTAGCAATTCAGTGGGTGCCTGAGCTATAAATCTAGGATATTCAAAATCAGCTTCTGTGCAATCTCTCTCTACCTCCCCCAAAATTGGTACAATGGGAAGTCCCCAACCCCAATGAATTCAGACACAATCCCAGGGAAATAAACCAAAATTATCTGAGATTATATTTTCACTAACTCAAAGAAAGAGAGCTCAAAATAGAAACCAAGGTGAGTTATGGAGAAAATAAAGTTAGCTTCCTTGCACGTGTGCGATTGTGGTCTGAGATTTATACCGTTACATGTCAAATGTCAATGCAAGGAAACACTCCCTACATTTATTTATTCAATTAAATTTAAGAAACTTTAGCTCTCCTCCAGGCCTAATGAATGTAGTCTTAGAGATGTGTGTGTGTGTGTGTGTGTGGGGGGGGGTTGTGAATGAAGAATTCTTGGCACTGCTTCAGGCTTTTTAGATGGAAAACTGAGTACTGCAAGTTCTGTATGGGATGCTATTGGATTGTCGGGAAAGTCATGACGCATTTTGCACTGAAAAACAGAAAAATAAGTCATGACTTTCCCGACGACCCAATATATATTTGATAGCCAGTTTCCCTCTTTCTGATTATAACCTCCTGGGGGAGAGAGACGTGTGTCTTTGTTTTAGATTCTCCCACGGGGTCTAGCACTGGGCTATAAGCACTAAATATTGTCAGGTACCTGATGGGTTGAAGTCACCATAGAAAAAAATAGAGACAGAAAGAAATGGTAAGGCAGCACAAGGGGAGGGAGCTAATTGTAAAATGCATGTACTTCCTTTCCCTACTTCATGCCACAATCCTATTTTTTCCTATTAGTGAACTTATTTGCCTGAGCAACTTTTTAAAGCTATTGAAGAAAAGTAGTAATCTCTCCCTTGTGTTATTAAAAAGCAGAACATATCGATTCAAGTAGTGCAGGATGCAAGCCTCAAACATACCAAGGTGGATGAGTTTGGCTTCATAAGTAGGGGAATCATTTTAATTTTCATTACTGAAGCTGCACTTAGCACCACCACTTAATACTGTCTTTATAAACTCTTCATATAGCAGATAGTGGTCTAAAGTCCCCTGTTGGGTTGCCATCTGAAGAGAACAAAGAAAACCCTTAAGTGGCCTGAGACCTGTGTAGCATTAGCACTTCATCAAAGATGCAGCTCCTCCTTTTGATCCTGGGGGCGATAGAAAGAAAATGACCCATTAGCACTAATGGGATCTCACAGGCAACATCCTGTGCATGGGAAGGAGGATGTGCTTTCTAATGACCCCTGTGTGAACAAGAGCCAGGATGGACATCTAGTAAGAGCCAGTTTCCTACAGATGTGAAGCCATTGTGTTACTTCAAGCTACAAGCGCTTTCTATTCATATCCTTTAAGTAGTCCATGCATGCAATTGACAAGGCAACAAAGGAGCTGGGGCATTTCCAGCAGAGGATGCAAAGAATATGTACAAAGAAAGCCAGATAACCTCAAACATTTGGGGAGTGGGTTTTTAAATCTCAAGAATATTGTTATCTTTAGCACTAGTGTATGTATGTATACATGTGTGTATACATACATACACGTGTGTGTGTGTGTGTGTGTGTATATAATAGAGAGAGAGAGAGAGAGAGAGAGTGAGAGAGAGAGAGAGAGCCATAAAATGTATACACATTTTAAGAAAGGAAAAAACTGCATCAATTGTAGTACTCAATATATGCCAATAACAAAAGTTGAATACAAATCACATTTGACTTCTGCAATTACAAGAGGTGCTCAAAGTGGTTACCCTCAGCGTCCAGACACTTCTGATTACAGCGAACTACTGCTTGAGCATAGATAACATCTCTTAAAATGTGTATACATTTTTCTGGCACCCCTGGGTTGTGTGTGTGTGTGTGTGTGTGTGTGTGTGTGTGTGTGTGAATGATCTGAGGTGATATCACAAGTATCCATTCCCTAATAGTTGGATAGTCATGAGTAGAGAATAGTGCACAGGCTTTTTACCTTTTTAGTATTATCTGGCTACAAACCCTAGCTGTACCACTTACTGGCGGTCTCAGTGCAGGCATGTTGTTACATAACTATTTTCAGAGTCAGGATCTTCATCTGTGAAATGGGTTAACAATGCCTGCCTTGTATGGCTGTGGGGGATATGAAGACCGTGTGTAAGCACTGGGTATACAGCATGCATTCAGCACACGGCTGCTCCTAGTGTGGTTGTGTTAGCATGCCTGGTAAGCACTACACATCTATAGTGCACCTCATTCTAGGTTGGTTGCACTGAGAGACACAGAAGAGCAAGTCCAGTGTCTTGTTTCTAGTATAATTAGAGTGTCACGATGTCAAATTTACATGTCCTATTTTACTTGATTTAATTTGCAGTCATTTGTGTACTTAAAGTATGCCTTGCAATATACTCAAGAGGCTCCTTTGATGGACTCCATTTGAGACCCAGCAGCATTGAACCTGGTAACATAAACAGAGGACTCGCTTCATAAATATTTTCTAATTGGATATAAACAGCGTAAGAAACACAAGAATTCTATGAAGCCCAAGGGCCACGTGGTAAGGTTCATGCCAAATGTGCCTTATAAAATCAGAGAAATAAGGGCCGGCCGAGTGGCACGATGGTTAAGAGCTGGCTTGGGATGCCAGAGGGCCCCGGTTCGGATCCCACATATGAGGGCCAGTGACACTGCCCTCCACAGCTAAGATGCTGAACACCAGCTCAACCTGGAGCTGGGATGCCATGAGTCGCAGGCATCGGCATAGGCTGCAGCCCCTGCGGCAGTGGGTTGCCATGGGCTACCGTGTGTAGCCAGCAGCCAGCGTGAGCGGCCAGCAGCCAGCGTGAGCGGCCAGCAGCCGCAGTGAGTGGCCGTCCAGAAGCCG